CCCGATTCACTTTGGTGAGTGACTCATTAAAACTCGATTCAGTAAAAAGAATCAAATTTACCATCACTATCCCTCTGTGTATTTAAGCCCTGTCTTTTCCTTTGTCTGTGTCGTGATCTCCATTATCCCATGCTTTGTGTTTTGCCTGTCAGCCTGTTTGGTTTTTGTAGTTTTGAGTTTAGTTTTTTGGTTATGTTTGCAATAAATCTCAGTTTGAGTTCACATTTGCCTCCATAGGTCTGGACTTTGGGTCCTGCTATCCTGCCTGCACACAGCCTACATGACAGAAAGTAAGTGAATACAGGAGATCTCTGGGGTGCAGTACTAATGTCATCTGCCAAAGAGTAATTCCCTGGTCAACCATAAGCCATGATTTAAGTATAAATCATTGACTTTTAAATGAATGACGACAGATGGGATGTACCACTGTGAGAGGGGTGCAGTGATTAGCGGAATTTAGGTGGAAAATAAATTTTTCTGGGGGACACTTCTTTGGGTGATTGGTGGAGAGGTTAAAGTAAATTTCTAGTTGAAGTATTCTTGCCATGTCACACACATTAGACACATATTTAAATTACTTAAAATAAATAGATAAAATGAAGTCTTCACTTATGCACTTGAGACCGACAGAAGCCAGTTTTGACTGTTTGTCAGTGTTCCTTGCACTCTCTGTGGGCCTTGATCTGATCCAGCTGTGGTACCAGAAAGCTGGTTTTCTTGCCTGCCTTTAACTAGTAGGGCAGGGGTAGGCAACTCCAGGCCTCGAGTGCCGGTGTCCTGCAGGTTTTAGATCTCACCCTGGGTTTACACACCTGAATCAAATGATTAGTTCATTACCAGGCCTCTGGAGAACTTCAAGAAATGCTGAGGAGTCATTTAGCCCTTTAAATCAGCTGTGATGGATCATGGACACATCTAAAACCTCCAGGACACCGGCACCGGATAACAGAGAGCAATAACAGAGAAAGAAAACACTGGAGTGAATACACTAAATATCTATGCGTGGAGAGAGGAGTGGAAACCCATGATGTTGCACAACTTGACCCGACTTGAGGGATAGGCAATCGCAGAAGAATCAGCTAGAACAGAGAAGGTTAAAAGTTGCATGGAGATAAATAATCTGTGCTCTCTACGGAGTAATGTAGGAAAGTAATCTTGTATCAGTGGTTCAGGCTGCTGCTGGTGGTGTACTGGTGTGGGGGACGACAAAGATTCTGATACTCTGGGCCTCTTAGCATCAACTGAGCAGTGTTTAAATGCCACAGCTACCTGCGTATTGTTGATGACCATGTCAAAACCATAATGACAACCATGTACCCATCTTCTGATGGCTGCTTCCAGGTGGACACCTTAATGCCACAGAGCTCCAATCATCTCAAATTATTTTCATGAGCATGACAGTGAGATTCTGTGAGATGACAGTGGCTGACAAATCTGCAGTAACTGTGACGCTGTCGTGTCAATATGGGCCAAAGTTTTTAAGGAATGTTTCCAGCACTTTATTGAGTCTATGCTATGAACAATTGAGGCACTTCTGAATGCAAAAAGGGGGTCCAACCTGGTTCTGCTAATGTGCAAGGTGAGTGTGTTTATGCATATACACATTAACTACAAGTAAACAGCACAATAACTAACGACACCAACAATCATAAACCAGTGCAGGAAAGCGGGGATGAGGGTGGTTGCCTCTAAGCAGGCTTGTGCTGGTGTATTTCTGTGCTTACACTCGAGTGTATAGCATCTGTGAAGGTGTACGTGCAAATACATGACCAGTATATGAGGGTATACAATCTTATTAATCTTATCTTGTTCATCTTACTAATTCTACCTTTAATAATACATACGCTTCTATGAATTCTGGAGTTTTGTTTGAAATGTGTTAGAGAACTTGGATGCTTAATGCTTAAAGCCACGACTGAATAAAAGGTTTACGCAGGGGTGACTCCCACAGTTTAGCCTTTCGACATATTCTAAA